ATTTTACTAGTTAGCCACTTTTTGATATCTTTCACAGAAAATGAGATATATAGGCTCAAAGTGGGCGATCCGGGTGTCGTTCTATTAGAGGTTTTACGGTATGCTTTTTGCAATACAAGACATTCCAACTATGCTGAATTATAAAACGAACCCGAATAACTTCTGGACAAGCATAATGTGGCGATCCACAGCTTGTCTCCAACATTGAACCTTCGACTTGTAAGCTAGCCATTCCAAAATCGGCCACTTTGATGTTATTCCTTTCATCTAACAGCAGATTCTCTGGTTTCAAATCTCGGTGACTGTAATTTTATGTTTTTTTCATTTTCTCCAACCTCTAATTTACCAAATATTGTGAGCATGACAAAAATCCAAGGCAGAAATAATCTGTCTAAAGAACTTCCTGGCTTCTTTTGACATTAATCGTCCCTTCCGGACCAAGTAGTCAAACAGTTCGCCACCGCTGACATGCTCCAAGAGCAAGTACAGATATTTCTTGTTTTCATAAACGTCGTATAAATGAAGCACGTGTGGATGTTCAATCAACTTCATGATGGCGATTTCTCTTTCGACCTGAAAAATGCAATTTTCACTTTCCCATTAATTTTCCAGTTTCCACTGATTTTAAATTTATATGGAAATGAGATTTTTTTTCCATATTTTCTATTTTCCTCAAATATATCTTCTTCTATTTTCTCATTTCCTCGTGTATATTTTCTCCTTTTCCCATTCCACGTCTTCATATTGACTCTCACTTCCTATTTTTTTTTCATCCGTTCTTTTCTTTTTCCTCTTTCCTTCTTTTTTATCAAGTTCGGAGAAAAAATAAAAATAGAAGAAAAAGGAAAAGACGACGAAAGTCAGATGTAACAACGGAAAGAAGAAGTCGTCAGAGATAACAGAGAGGGTGGAGAAGGCGATAGGATGAAAAATGACAGCATCCGTAAGACATACATTCGAGAACCCCCTTTTTTCTCAGTGCGTTTTGTTCTTTTTTCGTTGCGCCTTTTAAGAGGAGCAAAAAATGCAAAAAAAAACGTTGCTCAGGGGTATGTGTATGTATGTGTGTGCTCGTAGAGCCGGAAAGGGATTAACCAAAGAATGAGAAGTGACACATGATGATGAGGATGATGACGTGGAACCCAAGTGATAAATGGGAACGGGAAATGTTTCAATGGAATGAGAATGGGTTGTTGGATTAGAAGAATTTTTGGATCAACCAGATGATTAATTTCAAAAAATGTGAATTTAATTGTTTTTTTGTAATGCCCAAATTAAGGTAGTTATGAATAGAATTGGTCATATACAGTACCTGTCAGAAAGGTATACAAAACTATTATTTTTCAGTTGATTTCTACCATTTTCAGGAGTGCGGAGCTCGGCTGTCAAGTTTCCGATCACTTTCAAAACGCTAAAGGGTTTGAAACAGATCTAGATTGAAAACTTTACATTCATATAGAATTTTTTGAGAAACCCTAATTTTTCAACTTTTTGCTGATTTCTGAATAACACCTGCTTCTTTAACGCTTGCCGTACAAAAACGGGCGACATGTCTTCTAGAAAACGGCAATTAGCTGAAAAACCAATAACTTTCAAAAACTTCTGTGAATGCAAAGTTTTCAATCTAGGTCTGTTTCACGACTTCCAAGGTTTTCGAAAGGATCGAACACTTGACAGTCCAGCTTCAGGCTCCTGACAACCGTCGAAATGACTCAAAAACACGTTTTTGTAAATTTTCTCGACCGGTATTACATATTCTGACTACTTACAAATGTAAAAGTGTCTAGTTTTGGTAAGAGAAAATATGAATTTTTATGACAAAATTAAAAAAAAAATTTCATGATTTCTTTTCAATACTTCTCAGACTATCATAACTGATATTTCTACATCACAATTTGTGATAAAGATTTTAGTTATTGAGATTTTATGAGAAATCATACCATACAACTTTTTCACTTGGTATCAAAATTATAGAAAAATTTCAGAGCAATCTTCAAGTCATTTTCATATGTATACCGTATTTGCTTCGATAGAAACTTATACGCGCTCATTGTGCACAATTATTTTGGTACCTATGAAATATATAAAAAATCTCTCAACTGATAAAATGTTAGTGATATTTTGATATAAAATTCATCAGTTGAAATTACATTGGTACCTTTTAAAGTAACCGAGATAGTTGAGCTTAAAGTGCATGTATAGGGCTGGCTTCTATTAGAGAAAATGCAGTATGGAAACTCCAATTTTTAATTTTCAAGGTTTTATATTTTTTACCATTGTTAAATGTGTCCATTTGTTTTCCCAGGCATTGACAAATCCAAAAACTCACCTTCTGAAGAACGGATTCACTGAGTTTCTCCTTGTTGACTATCTTGATTGCAACCTTGCGGCCCGTAATGCAATGCGTTCCCGTTTTGACCAACCCTGCAAACTTTTAAAAGCTTCTGCCTACTGTACTTTTCATTTTCATTTTTGCATTTTTTTATTTCTTTGTTATTTATCTAACCTTCCTGCTATTTCTTCTGGTTCTATTGAAAAATAGACAGAGAAGAAGCCCAGAATTGGCAGCTCACCAAACCGGTTTAAGCCCTTGGGAGGAAGGGGGAATTTTAGAAATTCAAATTACTGATGGTTCACAGTGGTTCACAATTAGGATAAATTGCGAAATTGCAAAACCAATGAATAAATTTTCGAGAAAAATTAAAAAAAAAACATACCAGTTTGACCTTTTCCAAGTGTTTTCTCAAGTTTGTATGGACCACAGTATTGAGCCTGCGCCACCGGGCGCGTTGATACAATGTTTTCCGACATGGCTTTCGAGTTCAACTCATTATTCACTTCAGCCAATTTGTTATTTATCTCACCGATTACTTCCTGTAAATTAAATTATTAAAAAAAAATGTAAAATGCAATTTTTTGAGTTACAGGAAACTGAAGTCTTCTGTTACTTGGCTTGTTGTTTCAAAATTGAAAATTAAAGTACTCAGATTTGTTATAGACTATTGTTCGAGAAAGAATTAGATCATATCTACGAAAGATATTCAGGATTACTGTCCTTTCATATGTACTCATTTATAATTTGAAAAATAGTTCAACCAAGACCAAAACACAAGTCTAAAAATTTTCTAATAGCCAGAAATGGGCCTTAAAGCTTTCAATAGAAAACGGGCGAGAAAAGAAAAAATGGTGGAAAGTCTGGGATGGAGGGTGCTGGTAGTGGCGCGTTGAAAAACAAAAGGCGGGAAAAGAGAAAAGAGCTTCCAGCAACACGCCCCATCCTCGTCTTTTTTCTTCTTCTTTTCTATTCTTGTTCTCCCCCACCACACACATCTCCATCGTGCCATTCGGGTCTCCATCACTCTTTCCTACTATGACCACCAATTTATTCTGTACTAGTTTTATTGCAACCGAAAGCAAATAACTATCTTGATGGTGTCAAGAGAGCTTCTTCTCTTCTTTTTTTTTCTATCAAGACAACTGCTTCAATTTTTTTTGTCGGATGGGACAATTTAAATGGTTTGAGAAGATTTGGAAAAAGGGAACTTTCAGAAAGTCTGTGGGCGGTGTAGTTAAGGAAAGAGAATTTCCCGAAAACTGAGTTTCGGGCAGTACTGTAACAAACAGCAATATTTACAAAATACTCGATAGATTAGGAAAAATGAAATACTACAAATTAATCGATGAAATTAAAACGAGTCGGGCTGAGTTTCTCTGTTAAGTTCGCTGGTCCCGGCCCCGTATTTTTTCCTGTTTTTTTCTCAAAAAAAAATTCGGCCGAATAAAGGAGTTGCAAAGAACGGAGTGTCGTTGAAAAATATTTTTCACAAAAAATAATCAAATTTTCAGAAAAGTTTTAATTTTTATATGAAACTCCAAGTTGATTGGGCAGAGTTGGGTTGGGCCGTTACTTTCCAAATATGGTATAGAGATCACAATTCATTTCATCTCCAACAGAAAATTTCAAGACAATTTAAAAACTACAGTGACCGTATTCCAGTGTTGCTAGTAAGAAAATTTTCCTAACTAGATAGTCGGTAATCAGTACAAAAATCTTTCGTGTAATTCTTCTGAATTCATGAAATGGTACTGTATTGTCTGAAGCATAGCTCAGAATACGTTTTAATGAAGGGAGGAGTCAATCTATTAAAAAAAAGTATACCTGAAACTATGTCAGCAAAATTTTACATCAAGAACTTAACTAGTTCAAAAAACTACAATGCCCGTATGCTTCCTATGACAGACGCTCTCCTAAACCGGCAAATTTGAGCACGGTTATCTCAATTCCTATCACAGGTATAAATTATTTATCATAATATTACCAATATTTTATCAGTTGACACAATTTTGATATCTTCATTAAGAATCGTAATAATTGAGCTCAAAATTTATGATTTGTAGAGGAACACCAGAATAAAATGTCTCACAAAGCCTAAACTACAGAATAAAACTGAAAATTGACGTTTTTGTTTCGAAAAGTCAGAAAATTAAAAATAATGGAGTTAACAGAATTAGGAGTTCAGATCCTAAAATAAAACAAACCAACAAAAAGCAGAAAAAAACTTACACCTGCTCTCTGAATTTCAGTCATTTTCTGAATATGTCAACAAAATTATGTAGAGGACTCTCAAATATGAAAATCAATAAAGACGTAAAACCAGAGACCATGTCTAAGACACCTATAAACATTCTACAAGAGCTGGAATACAATGTCAATATATTGACCAAACAACGGTTTTTTGGGAATAAGGGATTACCTAGATGAAAACACAGAAATCTTATTGTAATGACGTTTTTTTATTGAGAGAGGTGTCAATCACAATCTCTAGCAACCAGGTGAATAAGTTTTCACTAACCGTACTCGTCTTTTTTGAAGACTTCGTGATAACGAACTTCAGCATATTTGCGGTAATCAGTATAAATAGAATATGTGTAGTATTACTCTCTGGTTTGTGAGTTTTCACTCGCTCCACTGAACAAAAAGTCGCCAGGGCCAGCAGGTTTTTAGACGTTTTTAGAACAAAAGAGCACATACACACCTTCGTGTGCGACCCGCCCTTTTTTCTAGTGCCTTTTTTCCTGACGACGATAACTGCGAGCCGCACTCTTCACCGGAAGATTGCCGCTCCGTCGTCTAGTATCAAATGTATGGAAAATTGCAGGTAGTCACCGCATGAATATATGACGAAAAATGGCGTGGCGACACGGGCGGCGACGATGACTGAATGAGCCACCTCGTCCTATTTTTTTTCGTCTTCTCGCTGTCCGTTTCTTATAGTAATTATGTGCCTATTCAGACATTTCTTGTACTGATGTACGGATGATGAATTACATTTGTGATGTGCTTTAATTTGGTAGTAGCCCTATTTGGCAATTGTTGTTATTAGTTTATTGGGCAACCATGAATACATAAAGAGTAATTTTTATGTCATTTTTCGAGACGTAAAATTGGTGACAAGAATGAATAATTCCGGATTCTATGTCGAATAAAATTGTCAGAAAGAGTATTAAGAAATTTTTAAAATATAAGAATTCTTATAATAAATATTAAAATATGGCAGATTTTCCAAAAATGGTAATGGGGTTATTCAGTAAGAAGCAATTCAGCAAATTGCTGGTTTTTTTCTTATGCAGATGGCAGAAAAAAAACCAGCGATTTTGCTGGGACCACGGAAGCAAAATTGCTGGTGCATATTTTAGTGACAGGTACTGTATGTCCAATTCTCAATTCTCTAATGTGCACTAAACTTGTCTATTGGACGCCTAGAACTACTGCAATTTTATATCATCTTATGCGTCCACTTCTGACTCACCATAAAATTGCGTAACCAGCAATTTCTTTTACACGGTCCACTCCAAGAAG